AGAGCTATCCGAGGAGCTTGTTGTGTATCAATTAACTACACTTCAGTGCATCAGAAATAATTGGTTTAGAGCTCCTGAGGGCACAAGTGCTGGTTCTGTTTTCTGGATTCAGAACTTCTAGCTTCAGAGGCAAGAACGCAGTGATACCTGGGAAGATTTGTGGTGTTGAGGGGGGGTGTCAGTCTAGTTGGAGCAACCTTGTATCTCCACTCCCTAATGTTCTGGCATTCATTTCGATAGTGCCCACCCATCCCGGTGCCAGTCTACACCCGCAAGTAACATCGGAGGAGCTGCCAACCCTCTATTTGAGGTGCCAGTCATCTCCGCAAGATAAGCAGACAGCAGAATCAATGTGTCAAAGGCCCAATGCCCCATCCGATCACCAACCCCCAGCAACACTTCCACTCTGCCTTTCAGCGAACGCCAACTGTGGCAGAAATGGTGTGCCACCCACCATCAGATTGTTCATTTACTTCTTCACCCACAGCTCCAGAAGAGGAGGGACAGAGAGAGAGAGAGAGAGAAGGTCATTCAGCACCTCAAGGGACCATCTCCAATGACGATACCAAAGTATAGCCAGAACGTTCTCACCAAAAAAAAAGCACCATTGCTAAATCGGGAAGCTCGAGTTTAGTAATGAGACAGTGCACATGGACTCAGGACTCGAGTTCCCCAGCTCAAGAGCTCATGGATGTGAGAGTTTACTGCAACAACCATCACCTTTCAACTCCATCGAGGAGTGAGGTGTGCCCTCTGTAAATGGCAACTCAAAGAGATACCTAACTCCCACATCCTGAGAGCTGCGATGATGCTTCCTTTGCCTGGCTATGTCCATCTAATACCTATCGCCACCATTCTGCCTCTACCCCTTCCCACACCCCCCTTTTTATCTGCAGCTTCCCCATACCCTCACATCCAGCCCTGAAGAAGGGTAATGCCCAAAACGATCACTGCTCCTTTTCTGCAGATGTGCCTGACTTGCTGTGTTCTTCCAGCCTCCTGTTTGTCTGTCTAGGATTCCAGCCTCTGCAGTTTTTTTGTCTCAAGTCGTTCCATGGGCACTGCAGAGATGGACTGAGATGGAGGGTGATGCAACTTGGCCACTTTGTGTGCGTGTGTGTGTGTGTGTGTGTGTGTGTGTGTCTGTATGTGTGAGAGTGTGTGTGTGTGTGTGAGAGACAGTGTGTGTGCATGTGTGTGAGTGTGTGTGTGTGTCTGTGTCTGTATGTGAGTGTGTGTGTATGTGTGTGTGTGAGAGTGTGTGTGTGTCTGTGTATGTGTGTGTGCGTGTCTGTGTATGTGTGTGTATGTCTGTGTGTGTGTGAGTGCATGTGTGTGTGTGAGTGTGTGTGTGTGTATGTGTGTGTGTGTGTGTATGTGTGTGTTTATGTGTGTGTGTGTCTCTGTGTGTGTGTGTGTGTGTGAGAGTGTGTGTGTATGTGTGTGTGTGTGTGTCTGTGTATGTGTGTGTATGTCTGTGTGTGTGTGAGTGCATGTGTGTGTGTGAGTGCGTGTGTTTGTCTG